ATATACTGATTTATATTTAAAATGTGACGTATTACTGTTGTGTGATGTTTTTGAAAAATTCCGAGCTATGAGTTTAAAACATTATAGTCTTGACTCATGTTACTATGTCTCATCCCCATCATTAAGTTGGGATGCTATGTTTTTCATAAGAACATACAATTAGATTTACTTTCAGATATTGAAATGTACCAATTTTTAGAGAAAGGAATTCGCGGTAGTCTTGCTCAATGTTCTCTAATATATGCAAAAGCAAACAATAAAAAAAATTTAGTTTATCTTGATTGTGTAAATTTATAGGGTTTTGCTATGATCCAAAAGTTACCAACGGGGAACTTTAAATTTCTAAGTGAAAAAGAAATTAATCAATTTGATATAATGAGTGTTCGTGATGATAGTGATATTGGGTATATTCTTGAAGTAGATTTGCACTATCCAATTGGAATTCATGATGATCATTCAGATTTACCATTTGCAGCAGAAAAGTTTGCTCCGCCGTGGAAGCAAACATAAAAAATTAATAGCTAGTTTGTACGATAAATGTAAATATGTTATTCATTATCAGCTTTTAAAAGAATGTTTACGTCATGGACTCATTTTGCTTAAAGTTTATAGAATATTGTCATTTAGTCAAAATTCACTTAGCACCATATATTTTATTAAATACAACACTTAGACAAAACGCTGCTTCAGACTTTGAAATAGATTTTTTTAAAAATCAAAACAATTTTATTTTTGGAAAGGCAATAGAGAATAAACAAAAACAAGTCGATGTAAAATTGGTTAATGTTACATACATTAACCAATTTTATCAAGATACATCCAATAAGACTAATAAACTATGTGGAGCTGAAAAATATGTAAGTGCTCCTTATTTTAAAAATTTGTCAATAATTTCAGATTCGTTCAATCCAGTTAAAACTAACAAAAGTTATCCTTGATCGCCCAATTTACATTGGGTTTTCAATTCTGGATTTAGCTAAGAGTCATTTATATCATTTTCATTACTCTATAATGAAACGCATGTATAAAAATTCGCTGAAACTCTGTTATACTGATACTGATAGTCTGCTGTATTTAACAAATACAAATGATTTTTATTAAGACATGAAAAAAAAATATAAAATATTTTGATACAAGTAATTTCAAAAACGATCAGTATGCTATGCCCAAAGTAAATTGTAAAATTCCAGGGTTTTTCAAAGACGATTTGGGTGGTGATATAATAATTGAATTTGTTGGATTAAGAGCGAAATTATATTGTATTGATTCTAAAACATGAGGTTGTTTTAGAATCAATACAATAAGGAAAGAAAAAATACAAAAATTAAAAAATCTGTTACTAAAAATCTTAATATTGAAAAATATAAACGTGCGTTATGGTCTAACGAATACTTTAAAAAGAGTATGTGTATGATTAGATCAAAGAATCATCAAATATTTACTCTTAAGTTGGTAAACTTGTACTTAATAGAGATGATGACAAGAGACAAATTGTGGCAGATGGCTACAATACGTTACCGTGGGGACACTATAAAACTATATTTTAATAAATATGAATGTAAAACTATGTAATGCTACTACTATGTACTGTATAGGTAAGTAAGAGATAAATGTATAGCTTAAGTTACATGTATTATCATGTTTATAACTTTGTACTAATTTAAAATAAATAAATATTTAGTTTTAATAAATATATTCGTTGTAACAATAAATGTCTTTTCTTTTTCCTCTACACAATTGAATAATAATGATACATAATAAAACAACAATAAAATTCAATGTATAACTTTTATTATATTTTACAAGCTACATTACTTAAATTACTAGTTCTCACATAATATTTAACCTATTTTTTATAAGACAATTTGTAGCATCTAACACTTCATCATACATTGAATCCACAACATATTGAACACTTATATTAGCACTAAGATCGTGGATGACATTTTCTTCTTGCTCGTTAAGTTCGCAAATGCTGATTTTAATCAGATGATGACCTCGTTTATCTTTATCTCGGCGGATAATGTATGATGATGATGAAAATTCTTGAGAACGGTTTCTCTTCCTGTAACATTTCTTTAATTTCGATGGCCGCTCTTCATTAATAGCTAATCTATTTGGTGGTAAATTGTGAAGCTGCTCCTTTCGGTTGTAATAATTTAGTGTAAATTTATCCACATCCTGTGCATAATAATACGGATTAGTGATGGGATTAGAATCATTGTGTTCCTCAGTGTTGGCCATTATCTGCAATTAACAAAAACAAGTATGAAGTCGAAAAAAAAGATAATGGCAGCTGAATTTCTAAATAGTAAAAAAGTTGATTAAACTCACCAATATAGATGATATTTGACGAGCGTTGTAATCAACGTGCACTCGCTATGAGAATAAAACAATAATGAAACAATTGAGGGAGGGCGGGAGGCGCTCTTCAATCCAGGTAAGACACATCATTTTATTTAGTTAGCGGTTGGTTGCAAATTAATTAATATCTTTATTATAATGGATTTCCGCAAAGTAACGACCGATTCTATCAGTTACATTAGCATGAGCCTAGCTTCACACACCTGACCATAAACAGAAGAAATTATAGATGTTTTATATTAATACGATAAATTTTGCTAATGAACTATCCAAAAAAAAACGTTTATTAGCACTAACTACAACGAAGTTAGGCTAAACAAGTTGTATTATTAGAAATTAATCATATAGATGCGTCAATACCAGCAGTATCTCGCAAACGATCTGAATATAATGCTCAATAACTCAACTGGAAGTGGAAGTACACTTATTCCCGCAGGATAGAACTGTGAGTATGTAGACATTAATTTGGTTAAACTAAAAATTTTGTACCTCTACTGGAGAGAATTGGGGCCTTCAGCATGTAGCTCGAGCGAAGCGAGAGCAAGTGACGCAGAAGCCCCAATTCTCACCTACTAGCAGTATTAAAGTTGCGTAAGACTCGCCGCATGCATTTGGAGATCTGTCTATTCAGTTGCCTATATGCTGTCAAATTTTTAACGATTGCACCTTTTCATGGGGGGTATATTGCCATAGTTGCCACGCTTGGCGAGCGGGTTGGCAACCGTAGTTTTTTTGTTGTACAGTTGCTGTTATCAGGAAGATGCTGCTGCCCATCTTCTGCCTGTTTCCCTCTGTCGCCTTTTACGACACCTACGGGAAGATATGGGGTAATGGATAATCTTAACCGCCACTACACGGCGCAGACATGGCATCTATATTTTGATCCTTAATCGAGCATAGAGCACAACATCGAATTATCATCTGGTGATCTGTGTGCCTGTTTGTCACCCTACTTCTTTAAAAAAATGAAAGTGGCGTGAATATATGTTCATCATCATTATCATTACAACCCTTCACAGTCCACTACCGAACATGGGCTTACCCCAAGTAATGCTACGAAATACGGTTCACAGTCATCTACCCTACATCCATCGATTTCCTGCATGTCTTACCAGGTTGTCACTGCCTCTAGTAGGGGGTCACACTACACTTCACTTACTAGTACGAGACTGCCACTCGAGAACCTTTTTACCCATTGATGGTCGGTTTTTATATATCTTTATTTTATTCGTATTCGTTAAACATCTCGTTTACTTCGTTCGCGCACCCCCGCCGCTGCCTCAACCCCCGCAGCCCCAATGGGTGCCTCTACCTCCGCAGCCCCAAACGCTGCTCCCTCTCAGTCACAAGACACTACCGCCAAGCCAGCAACCCGCTGCGCTCCCAAACTGGCTAAAAAAGTCCCGCCCTCTGTCTTTCTCAGAGACAAGGCGAAATTCACCAAACTGTCAAAAGCCCTTTACGAAAAGGGTTTCAAATATGGCCAAGCCACCAATGTCGGCGAGGCCATCAAAATCATGCCGGTGTCCATAGAAGACTTCCGGAACATCACTCGTCACTTCACGGCCGAGGAAAGAAAAATAAAAGCAGTCCTCCGCGGAGTTCCTCACGAACTCGCAAACGAGGACATCTTAGATGATTTAAAGTCCCAGGGCTTCCCTGTCGAGGCTGTGCACAAGATGCACAGCAGCAGGGGCGAGAGGTTTAACCTCGCCCTACTCGTACTCTCAAACGTGCCGGAGGCGAAGGCCATCTTCCGCGAGGTACGCACTGTGTGCGGCCTGTCGCGTGTAAGGGTCGAAGCCCCACACCGGCGCGGTTACCCAACGCAGTGCCACCGCTGCCAACTTTACAAAAAAACGTGACCATCCCCCGGAAACCAGCCCCGACTGTGAAACGTTACAATATTTCACAGTTGGGGCTGCATGAGTAATAAAATGATAATAATACGTCGTAACGAAGTTTCACTTCGTACGTGTGTAAAGTATTACACATTATATGCACATTTTTTATAGTTTTGAAAATTAGGGTAAGTAAATATTAAACATTATTCTTTGCCATCCAACATGCGTGCGCGTAAACTTGCGTGCATGTGTGTATAGATGCGTATAAAATAAATAGTAAAATAACTACATTTAGATATTTTAACTACAGGTCTTTTTTATTTATATAGGATTGGATGACAAACGAGCACACAGTCCAACTAATGGTAAGTGGTTGCTGTAGCCCATAGACATCTACATCTATCCTCGATTACGAATCAAAATGAGGTGCGTTGTCACCCGTGAGGACTAAAATAGAATTCCTCCGGTTCTCTACCCTCACCATACGAAACACAGCAGCATTAAGCTACTATTTTAAGCTGATATTCTGTGAAAGCGTGTTCCTTCCCTAGGTCGCGCAAACCTATTCGCGCTGCAACCAACTACTTTTATATCTGCAGCATGGCTCCACTACGTATAAACGACAAAAACAACACAATTGCAGATTTGAGTGTATCGTTTCGTTTTATTATAGGATATGGGTATTAAATAAAAACGAATAGGCTTGAGGAAGTTAATCGTTTATTTCATAAAAACGACAAAGTTTTCTTTATACTAATAAAATACGGTACAAATAACTTTTTTTTAATAAATTTACAGAATTAATTCGATGATTTTCCAGACTATGTACTCAAGGAGTTCGTTGATTTCAGCCTGAAACGTAAGATATCACATCATTTTTAAAAAAAGAAAAAATATGTTTAACGTGGTGATTATGTTTTTTTTTATTTCAATAGTATTTTGGATAGTAACGAAAATAACGTAGTAAATAAAAAGGGTAGATGTAGAAAATAAGAAATACTCACTTCGCTTTCTCTAAGGGCATTAGGAAGGGTGGTGCCTAGGTACTCGTTGACGATGTCAGAGATGTCACGGCCCAAAAGATTCAGGTACAAGTTGGACTGAAAAATATGTCAACGTTAGAAACGGTTGTATAGTAAGTTTACAAAAAACACAGATAAAAATAATTAAAATGTAAAAATAAAGTGATAAAAAATAAAACATACTTCAATGTCTTCTAAAGATAACCACAAATTAATGCTGCGAGGAACAATTTGATCTTGAGTAAAGCTCAATCTGATATCACCACGGAGGCGGAGCTCTATGATGTCCAAACTACAGAGGAATCAAATAAAAATCGTATTAAATTCAAAAATGAAAATTTTATAACGCAATAAAAAGAATTATTACATTATTATCTTATTCGTCATCATCATAAGCCGTATCATTTTAATAATATGTACTCGTAATCCCATAAGGTGATACTAGGTGACTATATTATATGCTTAAATTTAGTGGGGTCAAAAATGTCCAGCTAGGTTTTTTTGTTTTCCACTAATTTCTGAGTGAGATTTGAAGATTTTTTGAGATTTTTTATGAAAATCAATAAGCCCTCTACGAAGTTCCAATACGTGTCGTCAATCTTCAAGTGCCCTTGAAAATAGATATAAGGGTACCCACCCAGAGTATTAATAGTTGATTGAGGAAGCGATAAATGAATATACTTTATCATGTAACTAAAAATGCTTGGTCGGATTGGACCATTCATACAATATAGCTTTTGGAACCGGAATTCTTCGGGTAGAAAGTTTGAAATGCCAGTTTTGTACCACCAAGCTATGTGATAGGTGACACTTACTGTCTGTTACTCTTAGAAAGAAATTATAGAAATATGCATGAATGATCACTGTTTCATAGACCACATTTGTAAACTATGCAAATATCCACTCCCTTTCAACCATGACAATTAATTGCAAATTCGATTGGAAACCATCCACTGATAACCACTCGGCCACCACCACTGATGTCAAACGCTCGGCGAGCGAAGGACACATTTTGTCGATATTTAACACATTCGGTTAAATCTCTATCACCATCAGGTGGACTTATTATCAATCACTTGTTTGAAATATGTAAAAGCAGCGGAATTATAACCTTAAAAATCTTTACCCAGGGTAACTGTTTGCATGAACTAGGCCCTAGTTATATTTTATGTAGTTGTATTCCTTCCAGTGTTTTCGTATGAAACAAAGACCACCGTTAAACGTAACACTATCATAAGAAAAAAACTAGAGCAGCGCGGTCAGTTACATTTAACACAATCTCAGTGCGAGAACCCCTGGGAATGAGGTGGTCGCTTCCAAACTGTTTCTAAAATAAATTTTGTAAATATTTTGTGACCATTGATATAAGCATCCCTCATAAATTGCTACAAACTGCCGTCCTTTTTTAATTTTTATACTTTTCATAACATATTATAAGAACCTCATATAGACATGAACAACAATTTTGAAGTTTTAACCAAAGTTACTAGAAAATATTACTACAAGACATACCTGCCACTGCCTTGACCCTTGAGTTCACGTCCTAATAAAGTGACTTCAAATCCGGAATCACCTAAAGAAGACAGACATATTGAGTTAAAAAAATTGTCAGATTTAGAATAAAACTATTTGTAGACAAAAAAATTCCCACGATTGAAATTTTAGCTACAATTAACTTTAAAAGTATCGTAATTTGGCTATTAAAATGGTGGGAGTCCCTGAGGTCTTTCCAAAGATTTGTTTAGCCAACATTGACCATCATTCAAGAAAAAGTAATATTTATCACTTATGCAACCATTGCACATAGTGATTATATATTTTCGATATAAATAATAAACTATTTATTTGATACTTACCAACACTGACAGATATCCTAGGAAGGGAGACATCGAAAGTCAGCCGGGTAGCGAGAATAGAGAAGTCAAGGCTGTTGATTGCAATGTTACTGAGACCTTTGAAAAGGAAGTTCTCGGCATAAGCAACAGCGCTAAAAACTCTAAAAAAAAGAAATTGATGCACAATAATATAAATATAAACTGCGAAAAGAAATAGTACGCGAAAAGCAAAACTATTTGTATCGGGTTGTAATTAAACAGTGACTTTTTCATACATAGTGAAATAAGTTTCAAACAAATACTGTATGTATAGGCTCCTAGAATGCCGATTTGAAATATATAAAGTGCCAATACATTATGTAATTGCATTTATTTATAGAATAATGGTGACAAAGAAGCACAGAGTCCACCTGGTGGTCAGTGGATGCTGTGGCCCGTAGACATCTACATCTATCCTAGATTAAGAATCAAAACGCAGATGCGTTTTGCAAAATACAGATACGTTGTCATACACAGACCATCAGGTGGTTTATGAGTATCAACCACATCAGGTTGAATGCGGTCACTATCGTAATATAAAATTAAAAAAATCTTTAAGGTTTTTTTACTATCGCTCCGTTAGGTTCCGAAATCAATTTTATTTAATAAGCAAAAGTATAAGTCATTACTTACTCTGGTTCAGAGAGAGCAAATTCGCCTTGAGCGCTTTTAACTTCAAAAGGATCCAGACCAGCATCTATAATTGACTGTCTGATGCCATTAATAATGTTTATGATCACATCAGTGATGACTTTCTCTTGCCTCAGTTCTGTAATAAATATTTTTAATATAGTTTTGTTACTATATTAGCATATCAAAATATTAAAAAAAAACTATATTTTTTTTTAAATGAAGTGTCTATTTTTCTGAGAATTTGATAAATAAGCTATGACACCTTTTCTGGGGGAGTTCGTTTGCGTAGGCACCACCCTCTTTCTTTTAACATTCAGATTTAGGCACTGGACTTCCATTTTATAAAATATATAGGTACGATTTACATAAATTATTTTTTATATTCTAATTAAAGCTCCTAGTAATATATCACTGTATTATTTTATATTATACTTCCATACATAAAACTACAGGAAGTAAGACTGTCTATTTCTCCACATTATTCCGTGTGTATTTTAAGAGGTAATACGGCGAAACTGAAACTTGATAATAACTGAAAATAGTAAAAAAACTACGACTACCACACTATCTGTCAAGCATGGTAACTATCACAAAATCCCTCTTATGGGGCAGTCTATGGGGGTGATGTTTGTTCTGCAGTGGACTTGATAAACTGTAGTGGATGAATGACACCCCACTTTAACCAAGGAATTTATGAATGCATAGATTGTTTTCACAAACAAAAACACAAGGATTACTAAAAAGTAAGTTGAAGCTTTGTTACACAAGCTGGTAATTATAAATTGGAAATGATTTTAACAAAAATTATTTACCTTCTTCACTAAGGGTAGGTAATGTGTTGGCGCTGGCCAACAGCATCAGTACGGCAACAGCAATGCTTTTCATCTTGATGATGCCTTAAAATAGCGAAGATTATAGTTAATTAAATGATCTCAAAACTAAAATATGAACATGAAATATAAAGTTATTAATTTCAAGAAATCTCAAAAGACATTTTAATTAAATTAAGTGATGAGTGCTCTTACCCTCTTTTTCTCAACAACTAGCATAAGTAATTCAACGCCAACTATTTATACAGTGAAGGAAGTCTGATATTATCTTAAGCGCAATTTATCAATAATTTGTGATTTCTATCTTTTTAATCCTAATCAATCATTATACTGGCATGTTAAGCAAAGGAACGAAAAGTTATGATGACGTCATTATTATTATTTTTTGCACAAAATTTTTGTTGGTTATAAGAGTAACTCGGCAATGATTATTAAGTCATTTCTTTTTATCACTTTTAATATTAATAAAGCGTAATTAAATAATAATTGCCGTATGATGTGACTTATGAGAATCCATCGGCCTATTACATCACTCGTGTATCTTAAAATTCGAATGAGTGATGTATCAGAAAAATATCATGGTTTTCAATAGAATGTGGTCATTTAACCATATCTTTGGGCTTCATGAACTAAGTTATAATAGGTATTTGGCAAACAAAAAGTTACCGTTGTAATTGATTACATATAAGGAAGTCAGACGAAAATTTAAGCTGCAATGATCATTAAGATATTATTTTATTTTTTAATAGGATACAGGTAACAAACGAGCACACAGTCCACCTGATGATAAGTGGATGCTGTAGCCCATAGGCATCTACATCCATCCTAGATTAAAAATCAAAATGCAGATATGTTTTCATTCGTAAAGACTAAGGTGGAAGCCTCGTTTCCAGTGAAAAGTGTCACAGGTTCTCTACATTCTGCACCAACTTCTCCACCGAGATTAGATTATAGTCACTTCTTTACCGAGAGCTTCTAGAACAGTTAAGGCCTGGTTGCGCAGGCCTAGTGTGAGAGCAGTCATGGCCTGACTTTTATTCCAGCCGTTCGCCTTCATCACAGCCTCAAACTGGATTTTGTAGGGCGACCAGAAAGAAATCCCGTCGAAAGGTGGCACTTTGAACCCACGTAGCGAAGGTGTAGTAGCTGCTACGGGAGCTGTAGTTTCATCCCCAAGTTTGAGTTTGTTCAGTGATTTCTTCATGACAGCCATTACGTTGTCAACCCGATGATTCACTTGGTCGATTTGGGTGTTAGCTTCTTTGATTCACGTTTCAATTTCCGACAGGCGGTTGTCATGTTGAGCAACCCTATCCTTCACCTTCCTTATCTCTTTCCCGAAGCTAGCGTGAATGTCCTTTACGAAGAGCATCTGCTCTTCCTGTCGGCGGGCCTGTTCCTACTGCTGCTCTTTCAACCAACGGGCCTGTTCCTCCTGTTGGCGAGCCAGTTCCTGCAGCAGCATCATGAGAGCACCTAAGTCAGGTGTGCAGGTATAGGAGCTGCAGACGGGCCAGCCTCCGTAGCTGGCAGTTGGCTCCCCGACGTCTGCGGCGTTGTACCACCAAATCTTCTTTGGTCCGTCTCCTGCTGACTTGACTTCGGGTACGGACACCCTTCGTTTCCTCCTTAGGTAAAATCGGCATAATTTTATGCCACTTCTGACACCAATTGTTACGAACTTAGGGTTCGTGACAATAAAACCTGCCGATTAAATTACCAAAATTTACATTTTTATTACTGAACACCAATTAAAACTTAAAAGGCACTAATAATTAATCACACTGATTCACTTTATTTCGCTCCTAAGCTTCGCTTGTATCGCTAATTCAATACTACCCCGATTGCGGCTTGCAGCGGCTTTAAGTACACCTTTCACCGAAACATCCAGAATTTTCCAGTAAATACCGGTCCCAACCGACTAAATGCAGAGAGTTCGAGAGTGGACCCTTCTAGAAAGCTTAATTCTTCTTTTGGATACTAGATGGCGCTGTTTGTGGAAAGTTCAAGATTGGCATTTTCTAGGAAGCCCTCCTCGCTTTGTTCTCCGATACTAGATGGCGCTTGTGTCAGGTACCAGACATCAACTTAGGCGCGCAACAGTAACAATATAAAATTCAATTTAGTGGTTGTTAGAATTACTAAAGGCACATAATATTAAAATAACACACTGAGAAACAACTTACTACCAGAATTATCTGAGAATAATAAAGAATGGTATCATATACTTTTTTACTGATGTTTCAAAAGAGCAGAGGAACAAGACCTGCATTCTACTATCCACATTTTAAATGCGAGAATAAGATTTTCAAATAAATATAACTACTTTTATATTGAATGTTTATAGTAAGTTATATCCGATGCTCTTTCACATGTTTATTATATACAATCTCAAAATGCATTTATTTGTAATTGTGCTATTTTACATCTACAAAAATGCTTCTCAGAAAATACAGGAGTGCCTTATGACTAAAAAAGATAATTCAGCATCAATAATAAGATTTTACTGTTTGCATTCAATAACTTCTCCTCTTATAGGATTAATGAGTAATCGCAAGAAATACTGTCATAAAAATTCAAAGAGTACTTTGATGAAAGATCACACTCTATAATGAAGTAGTACAAAAGCATTAACTGTGAACCTCCTTATATTCCTTGATTCGTAAATACTCAGCTAGGTAGGCTACAAATTGTGGTTATATGTTGTGGTGGTGGAATATATTGGATATAGTTGTATTTAACTCTAGATTGGCGGCCTACATATACGGAGTATAAAAATTTTATTTGTGTATTTATTATATGTATTGTAATAGTTTAGGTTAGCGTATGATGGCACTGTTATTGACTTCCTGTACATAAAAGTCCCCAACTAAAATATTTTTTTTTAAACCGGTCCAGTGTGAGTTGGCCTAGCGCATAAAGGGTTCCGAACTATGTAGGTAGAATATAGCATTACAAACTCTGTAAGCATTTCAACCATCTATTTGTTGCCATTATTAAGATCAAACAAAAAAGCCAAAAACACACGTTTATATTAGGAGACCCTCCTTTTATTTTTAATTATTTTTTTAATTATTTATTGTTATAGCGGAAACAGACTAATTAGTCTAATCAATTAATTAATATATACATTTAATTAAAATTGAAGTGTATGGTTATAATATCAAAATAACTGCCTTATTTTTTTAATACCTCTGTATTTATTAAAAATTTATTAACTAAACCCAAGCATACCACTGCAAGACCTCAGGACATAGTCAGTTCATTTTGGACCATAAACAATAACTAAAAAAGCTGAAGGTACTCCGATTTTAACAATGACATCGGGACGTCAGTCACCTCAGTCCCCCGTGACCATGAGTGCTGGAAAGCGCCCGAAACGGGAATTAAAAATAAAAATAATTAAAAGTAAAATTAAACGCGATAAAATCCGTAAAAGTAGTTTTAATCAATGTGTAGTGTTCGCGTAAATATAAGAAATTATTATTTTTTTAAACTACTAAGTATTTTTTAAACAAACAATGAATTTGATAATTTTAAATCTAAATAGCACCACATATGAAAATACAGGCACTAAATTTATTGTAGGCTTTTATTTATATTGGACGAAGGTGTGGGGGGGGGGTTCCCAAGCCCGCGTCTTACTGCGCCGCAACCATCACAAAACAAAGACATCGCAAAAACCTTCCCAACAAATTTAAAAAATTTCCGACGGAAGTCTAGTGCTGAAGATTTTAAAATGCAAATTCACTAAGACAAAAACTAACGTAAAAATATACGTCAAGATTATTTTATCTCATTTTTATTTAATCGCCAGGTGTGCCATAGAATTTGATATAATATTAATATAATTCCAAAATCGATACAGATTAAAGCTTAATGTTATTAGCTTCCGATAAGCGTGACATACTGATAGGTAAGTCGATAGATGCGAATGGCTCAGGAAGTTTTGTAAGGTTTTTTTTTGAAAGTTCTTAGATCGGCAGTGGACTTATAAGGGGCTGTAATGTTGATGATGTTAGTTTTTTTAAAAGGATGACAAACAAGCACAGTTCACCTGGTGGTAAATAGATGCTGTGGCTCAAACTCCTACATCCATCCGCGAATAAAAATTAAAAAGCAGCTACGTTGTTCCCCGTGAAGAATAAGATAGAATGATTTCTTATATTTCCGAGAACATTATACATTTAAATAATACTTGTTTCAACGGATTATATCGCGTATATTAACTTTTTTATATACCCGACGTTTTGAGCACTTTACAGCACCCATGGTCACGGGGGGACTGAGATATTCAACGTCCAGATGGCATAGTTAACCGCAGTTCCAATAGATTAAAATTACTAATGTTTGTTCCGATCTATGCAGTATGAACTTATATTATCTTGAAGTCTTGCAGTTGTATCCTTGGGTTGAGATTTAATTTTATTAATTATAGGATCCCAAGCATATGCTAGCACCCAGCCACTCTCTATTGAAATTAGGATGTTTTTTGGTTTCAATAGCCTCGCAAATTATTCTTGGAAGGAATCGGTGTTCTTTAGCGAGAAGTTGTAGTCTATCAAATCCGATGTAATGAAGGGGGCAATCCTGTACATGTTCACAGACTGTAGACTTCCCGGAGCGTCGATTCTTCACATCAGCTGTATGTTCTTTAATGCGGGTTTTAATTGATCATTTAGTTTGTCCTATGTAGGAGAGACCACGTTAGAAATCAAGCTTGTATACTCCTGCACCTTGGAATTTGACAACGGGATTTTACACTTGACTGATGGCAAAAACTGATCAATCTTCTTTGGCTGCATGAAGTATGTTTTAATGGAAGCGCGCTTCAAAATGTAGCCAACCTTTCCAGTGACTCCTCTGACATATGGCAGTACAGCACGTACATGCTCGATTGTGGCTGGCTTCACTTGTTCACTGTGACGTAGGCTCGGGACCCGAAGCTTGTTGTCATGCAAAACTAGCTTGACTTATTGAAGATCGGCAGCCAGGTGTTTACTGTCACAGATCCCTTGTACTCTCTGAAACAAATATTTAGCCACGGTAGCTAAC